AATAAAAAAAATGCTGAAAACTGATTCCTACCTACCTTGTTTCACTACTTGCCTTTGTAGTGATCCTTCTGCTGCTGGTTTATTGGAGGTTCCCAGAAACTCGGGGATGCAGCCTTATTCAGTTATGACCCAAAGCCATAGAACACGCTACCTGTAGATATCAGGAAGCCAGCTCGTAAAATATTTTAAAAAGAAAGCTAAAGATGTATCTCTTTACTTTAGCCTTTAACCAGCTTTCTCCATACAAGCATTTGTTGAATGCTGTATTTTACGTGATTTTATGCATTCTATGCACTCTTTTAACTTCATTATTATTATCCTTTATTTATTATTATTTTACTTTCCATCTTATGTATGTTATGCCTTCCTCATTTTTGTCTTATTAATACTATCATTAACAATTGGGATTTATTTTTTGTATTTTCCACCTTATTTTAGATTAATTAAGGCATTCTATCCCAATTTTTATGTTCATTCTTTTTTATGTGAAACACTTGGTCCATATACATTCTTTGTTGTAAAGAACTTTGAGCGATTATTTTTATTAATCAGTTTGATGGTGCTTTTGTTGATTGTATTTTTGTTGCTATAAAACAGACTCAAAAGTATTTTTTTTAATTTTTTTTTTATGTTGGCCTACTCAATGATGATCTATGATATGGAGCATTAGTTAACAACAAACAGCATTATATCTGATTCTGACATACAATTCCCCAAATAAATTGATACATAAATACCCACAATAATTCAAAGACACAACAGCTATATTCTTTTAACAATATACAGCCTTGCTAGCGGCTCTGATACTGTACTAGTATGTTCACATCTTAGTTTAACATGTTAGCATGCTAACATTTGCAGTAGATACAGCTGAGGCTGATGGAAAATCTCATTGTGCCTCTGCTGTGTCAATGTGTAGTATAATTTTTTATTTTTTTAACCTAATCAATAGCAGGTATTTGGATTTGAAGAGTTTACTGCTCTTTTATATTTGTATTGTTCACTGTAATCTTCTTATTGTTGTTTTTTTAGGTAGACAATTTTAAGATCTGGTGCATGCATTTGCAGCAATGTTAATTAATCTACACTGTCCCTGTCAAATAAACTAATAAATAAATAAATTAGTTTTACAGATAGGCTATCTGCTCATAAACTAAAGTATTTGACGTGTTTAAATTTGACTTGATGTTGATGTGCTAGATGAAAAATTGGGGGATCACCAAAGTAATGACAATTCATCCTGGTGGGGACATGAAGGTGTATACCAGATTTCATGGCAATCCACCCAACAGTTGACAAGATATTTAACTCAAAACCACAAACATGAGCCTAATAGTGGTGCTAGAGGAACAGTCAAGGGATTCGTCGTCAGGGCATCGTGGATGTATGTACAAGATGTTGTGCTTATCCATGTAATATAGTTATAGGACTGGATAAGTAAAAACTATGACCTGCTGGTGGCGCTAAAGGAAAATCTAGGGGATCAACGTAAATCAGGATTAACTGATTTATTCATTGATAGGACTACATCACATCCTGTCTTTTTATAATTGTACAGTTCATAAATTATGTACGACATGGAAAAAGAAAATTTCCATCACAGATGGGAAACCATGGCTTCATGTGTGAAAAGGTGACCATGACAAATTGTTTTGTTCCCAATCTACTGTCTACCATCTAAGTTCACAAAGGTCTGAGCTTTGTGGTGAAACGTGCTGTCACTGGGGGAGTGTGGGTGGTGTCACTTTTAAGCATATCATCTGTCAACACACACATGTTGTAGACATACACACACACACACACACACACTTACCGCTTCCCTGTACTCATTTTGGCATCCAAGGCCAGGGGATAATAGTGTCACTGTGTGTAAGGTTTGCATGCGTGCATATGGGCCCGTGTGCACTCCAAACCGGCCTCCAGGCTGCATGAGTGCGTGCGTTTGTGCTTGTGTGTGTGTGTTGTGTGCTGTTGGCAGGGGAAACAGCCAGACACATGGTACATGGCAAGTGTGTAAGCAAGTCCCAGAAACACCTGAGCCCCAGTGCTTGCGTGTGTGTGTGTGTGTAGATGTGTTCCCTTGTTGAAGGGTGAGCTCCTCACCGCAGCACCTGTCACTAGGTGTTTATGGTCGATACTGCTATTCTTACCAGATTCACTCTAATTGGTCATTAGTAGCCTGTCAGTTCATTATATAGAAATCCTCTATGGAAATCGGTTTGCTGGGTTTGCTGACTATCACACCTCTTGTACATCTGTTTCTTTCATCTCAAGCTCTGTTTTGTTCTTATTTGGTACAACTTCTGTTAAGTTTGATCTTGTAAGGGTTATGTAAAGTAACCTTGTCTCCTACAGCTGTAAAAACACAGGAGCTTCCTCCTATGGTAATCCATTCATGGTATCAAAATAAATAGGTAAATCTGGGCAATATGACTAAAATAGTCCAGCATGGTACATTTTTAGGGCTACAACTAAAAATTTAAAAAAAATTCATTTTCACCCGAAGGGCTATTAGTTTTGCTGCAATAGAAATAAAATACGACGACAACAGTAACAACTATTAGCAATACAGGGTGAGACATGTGTGCCTTATGTGCAGATGTTACCTATTCTTCACAAAGTTGAGAAGAGAAATAGCAGAGAGTATGACGAAGAATTTATATGTGTTTACATGTTTGTTGTACAGTTCAGCTCGTTTTGTCTGCTGAGTCCCAATGATTTTGCTGCAAACGTTATTCACTATTGATATTAACAACTATTTTCATGATCAAATTTATCTATTCTATTCCATCTATAAATCAATTCATTGTTTGGTCAATGCAAATGTCAGCGAATAGCAAAAATGTCCATCACAAGTTCTCAGAGACCATCTTGTTTTTGGTCGACTGACAGTCCAAAACCCAAGGAGATTTAGTTTGTTTTCATATATGACCTAAAACTAAGACTTAAACAAAATACATTTTCTGACAATGAGCTAATATCGGCTGTTATCAGGCACAACCTAGTTATTACCTAGTTATCGGGCTCTACCCAAAATGGCCCAATACAACCTGAGATATTGGAGGGATTGTAGCCATGATATAAATAGTAAATGTCTGGTGGCAACAAAGTTATGTTCTTTCACAGTGGATATTGTTATATCACGAAGAAAGCTCACATTTTAGGACTAAAGGTTTAAAAAGTTCTTTATATCACTCGACGGTGTGATGCACTCCTATTTTTCTGGTACTGAGAGCATCCTCACTTGCAGAATAACTGTATTAAGGCACCTGAGCACAAGACAGGGAATGTCTGCATCAAAGATACCATCCCTTGCTGATATTTACTACATTTACCCAATTAGTTATGACTCTTGACGATAAGGCACTGTAAATGTATACATCATAGTCGGTTTGTGGTGGTTACGGCATCTCCACAGGAATGCTTGTTTTATGTATTTATTATGTCACTGTTTTTTTATGCATAAATGTTTTATTCAGTAGTTGGGTCATTCTGTGTTTTCATCACTTGTTATTGTAGTTACCGTTATGTGTTGCCCTGAGGTTTTTGTTTTATGTGGGCTCACCAAAGCAAATTCCTATCAATTATGATGAAGCGGCAATAAATCATTTAAGCTTGACACGGTTATATCCATATCCGAGTGTTCCGAGTGCAGTGCCTGTGATTACATATGAACACAGACTCTGAGTCTGTGGTCAAACATAGAATATAAATGCGGTGTAATTCTCATAAACCTTTTTCTTAGTCGCAGTATTTAACACAAACCCTCCATACAGAGTATTTTCAAATCAGTAATAATTCTAGCCGCTTCCTGAACATGACTGACTTGCTAATGTTATATAATTTATCAATAATTACAGTGTGGATTTTGAAACTGTCTTTTTGGATTGATGCAGCAAGACAGTTTATTCCTGTGTAGTTTGCATGTAAAAGAATGAATAAAAATACATATTGTTATATATATCTTTAACTGTTATCATCTACTTTGATACAGAGGGCAGCATGCATGCTGCTGTGCATAAAGCAGCTCTAAATTCTAAGAATAGACATTAAAACCCTCCTCTGCTAAACCGGAAGCCTCTATATTTAACTCATCTAAGTCTGGTTACCATGACAAATGAGGGACATGCATCCCATATTGCATTACGAGGGCACTGTTATAGACTCCTATCTGGCCTGAAATAGGTTTGAAGATCAGATCAATAGATTCTAGACCTGAGAAGGTCATCAATATCATTACGATCAGACAACGATGATGCTATAAAGCTCTGGTGCATTAGTCATTCCAGGATGCCTCATGACTGCTGTTCTTCTTATAGGCCCCTTTAATTCAGTTGTTACACAGCACCACAGTAAAGAATATGAGGGGGGGAATATAAGTTGTTCAAAAAAATGTTTAAAACATGCTTTGATGTCATATTTAGGTCAGCTTATTCACAGTCACTGCTAAAAGACCTGCCTCTGGCGACAAGACACCCGTTGCAGTCACATTGTGTGTATGTGTGTGTTTATGTGTGTGTGAAATATTATTTCTAGTGCTGGAGAGTCCATAATTATATAACAGAGGTGGAGGATGTATTCAGATCTAATACCATAATTGTAAAAATACAAATACAACACAAATAAAAAGTCCTGCATTCAAAAGCATACTTAAGTAAAAGTACAGGAGTATTATCAACAAAATGTACTTAAGTATCAAAAGTAAAAGAAATGGGCATTTAACGTGTTGGAAACTACCAGCTATTTGCCCCTATTTCCAGGAAAAATGCCTAAAATAACCAATATTTTGCTATTGCAGACTAAATACTAAAAATACTAAATACCTACCTACCTTCCTACCTACCTAAATGGACATGCAATGTACGAAAAATATACTGTATATTTTCTAATATAATTATTTATAATAATTATAATAATAATATAATTATTATTATGACAATACTTTAATATAATTTTAATTATATATTTTTATCCTTGCCTGGTATAAAATCTATATTTTAATAGCAATATCACCATCAAAACCATCATCCACAACTTGAGAACAGAACATCCTGGGCTGTAAGTGGGCTCTTTCTCGTCGTCTTGAGCAAACAAATTGTTTGAAATACTGGATGTCTGTGTAACTACAACAGATTGGCTAGCAAAAACGAAAAACAGCAAAAACCGCAAAAATAAGTCGGCGGTTGAAACTGTATATGTATATTGGTGCGTTTGTTGTTATTATTATCCGGCTAATCAGTCTGTGATTTGAGTGATATGAGTTACACAGCTGATCTCAGCTGGGGCTGAGCTTTCTTAAGAGTGGTCGGGCGGTGGTGTAAGATAAGATGAGAGATAACTGGATGGCAATAACTGCATGCATGTACAGTGTTCACAGAATGGTTTATGTTGTGATATAAGTTCATTCAGATTCTTGGTGGTTGATGTGTGATATGGATAAAAATGGTTGGTTTCAGATTCTCTAGCTTAGCCTCCTAGCTTCAAGGAGGTTTGTAGCACGGACACTAGGGTCAGACACGAACTTCTCCTTTGCATTTTGAGTGAAAACTAAACTGATACTTCAGCGATTAACAGGTGGCTTATTCCAAACAAGCTATTGTCATTTACATAAAGTATTTGGGCAATAATTGTCCTTTTTCCATCATTCTGTAGGCAACTGTGATCTGATTTTATGCTGCACATGGCATGAGTCTGGCACAGAGCAGGAACAGCAGGGCACAGTAGAAGGAGTTTGTTACCTCCCTCAGGAGCTGGAGGTGTGCAGCCTGTCGCCTGCAGCTTGTCATCTAACAGCTCACTGTGGCTGCTGCCTTTTGTCCCATTACTCCGTGCCACATTTTAAACTGATCTGCTGTCAAAAAAATGCTGAAAATGACCATAGTCTTGTTTTTTAGATGCATTTTTTATATAGCTGTAAGTCAACTTGTGTTTCGCCGCTTAAATGCTTTTAATGTAAAGCTGCAGCAGTAGGAAATGTTCAGTTTTCATTATTTTTGTCGGCACAGACACCAAGTTTGTAATACTGTAAATATATAAATATCGCAATACTTTCATCGGTGGGCCACATGCTCAGTCACCATTGTGTTACCACAGTGGGCAATAGATAGTGACTTAACAGACATTTGAAAATCTTCAAGATTATAACATTAAAGCTTTAAAAATAGAAACCCATTAGGCGTCAGTCTGCATCTGTCTGTCAATCTGAAAGTGTGTTTGTGTGCTTTGACCCTTGTTTGTGTCACCATCAGAATCTGAAAGAAAAAAAACATGCTGTGTTACCCTCAGGCCTCATGACAATATAAAAAGGACTTGAAATGTTACCACAATAACATCTACGTGTGTCACTTGATGTGGAATGTCATGTGATGCGAACTTGTTGCAGTGTGGGTTGTATTTGTGTTTTTTTATCTTTTTTCTGGAAGTCTGGCACACATACGTTAGTATAATACCAGCTCTCGTTCATATGATGATTTTCTCAGATAAGACCAAATGACATATACTCCCTTGAATTCTCTCTTGAAGAAATCTTTACTGTCCTTGAGTTTTGTGCAGGTCTCCAAAGTTATCGGGATCAGATTGGAAGTGCTCTGTCTTCCGCTGATTCAGCTCAAACCTGGAGAGATAAAGAGCGCCGATTTAGATCGTCAGGCTGTCAGGTAGGCACCGTAGTGGAGAACAAATTCAAGACAACTCGGTGTGCAGGAAGGATGATAAAAACATCACTACAGGGAGGAGACAGTGGGTTGCTGTGGTGTCAGTGTGTGTCTCTGTGTGTGTGAAGGTAAGATGAATAATACAAAACGTGTACTAGGATTACAGTAATCTGAGTATATTGAATTGGTCACTTTAATATGTTTGTGTAAAAAATATTGGATCACAGCGACACATTTGACAGGGATATTATAATTATGTGTTATCTTGTGATTGTGCGTAATTGTACGCAGTTTGCAATAATTTTAGATGATAACTGTGCTATTCAAATGAGCCTATAACCAGAGTACATTGTTCATTTAGCGTCACATTCCATGTATTTTGGAGACAAAGTAATTGAGAGAAATCAGATTATGTTAGATCAACACAAAGGATTATATTGCTGGGTCAAATCTCGAGCGGGTGCTCAATAATCCGTAACAGATTACATTTTAAAAGGAGCCTGTTCCACGCGCGGGTGGATGTGTGGTGGAGATTGGAAATGGTTTGGAAATGAGAGCCATGTCAGCGGGGCTGCAGGAGATGATAAAAATTGGTTCCGACTGTGCTCAGTTCTCACATCTACCTCCGACCCGGCGTCTGCGTCTACTTGACCATTATGAGTGTACAGGTAGCGCACAGCGAGAGCAGAACACAGTGAGCAAGAGGCAAACAGGGTGTGAGAAAGAGGAAAATCTAAAGTCTGGAGGAGAGGGGAGACGTGTAGATACTGCGCACGTATACACTTTTGTAAGGCATAATAAACACTAAGGCTTAATTTACATTTGTTGCCTGGTGAAAAATGCTTGTTTTATTTGATCAACAGTCTAAAACCCAAATAAGTAATATTTACAATGACACAACACAGACGACAGCAGCAAATCTTTGTGAAACATGAATTATCTTTGCTTAATAAATGTCAGTTAATCAAATATCAAAACTGGACATTAACTCTCTGCCAGTCAACTTATTGATTTATTGTTCCAGCAATCTTTTCAGGTTAAAGCGGGATAGGCAATTTATTTTAGAAGCATAATTGTTGACATTCTCTTCAGAAATCAAGAAATCAAATGCTCTGATGAAAAACAACAACATCCGCTCACTGCACAAGAAAATGTGTTTTCGAGGCGTGTCTTTGGAGGGAGGCCTGATGCATTCAAAATGTAGTTGTCTCTTGCTAGTTTCTCCAACATCTCCTACTCCTGCTTTAAACATTACAGTACAGGCTCACATGTAGACTTGAAAGCCATGCTAGATTCTCTTTGCCATCTAATTATATATATTTGCCTTGGTGTCCCGAAAATTCAGCTTTTGAGATATCACTTTTGATGACATGCGTTGCGTGATCATGACACTGAGGCAACTGTGTACTCACTATTGGCTGCCATTTTATGATGTCATGGAGCAACATGGGTATCTGATGCTCAAGATTACATCAAAAAGAAGGAAAACCAATTACTTTCTAAAACCAATAATATGACAAGTACGGCAATTTCTTTCAGCAATTCGCCAGGTATGAGGGGGAAGGCTATGTACAAATGAGTACAACACCATGAACGCTTTCAAGGAAAGCAGTGTGGCTATTCTGAACAGCTACAAATTCTTAATACCTTCAGGGATGGTTGGACAACACACGCAAATTAGTTTGTTTTAACCTGTTGGAAACCTCCAGCTATTTCCCCAATTTCCAGGAAAAACACCTAAAATAACATACCCAAAATGAATCATTTGGCCTAGATGCATAATTCTGGTCTCCTTTGAAAGGTCAGAATCTAAGGAATATAAATCCATTGTAAATTAACATATTTATTTTACCATTACAGACTCATTTTCTGATTTGTCACTGAGAAAATGAGACTGTAATGGTAATAGGAGATGCAAAAAGAAATATATGATATTTTCATCCTCGCCTGGTAAAAAAGCTATATTTTTAATGCAATAAACCATCATCAGATAGATTATAATCCAACTGAATATCTACCAATACCCCTGGAATGCAATTGTAACTGTAAATTGGCGAATGTCCATATTTTGGCAATATTTACTGTTTAAATGTTGACTTTTATTGGAAGTTATCTTTAACACACTATTTCTTTCCATACAACCACGTTCCAAATAACATAAAGATTCCAAAACACTGAAATATTGATAAAAACAGTGAATATTCATCAATATTCCTGTGACCATAAGTACTCCCATGCTTTACAGGTATGTAACTTGAGAACGGAACATCCCACAGTGATGGGGGGACATCCATTGATCCGGATTGAGCAGACCTTTCATTTGATGTTTCGATGTCTATGTAGGTTCTACGAGTTGGCTACCAGACCGCGAAAAAGATCTTGTGTTCCAAAGCGGTACTTCTCCTCTCTGCAGAAAAAGGCGAGAGAAGTCAGGCACACGGCTCCCAGGTATTGCGCAATAATCCAGATGGCGCCCAAGATATTTTTAGAAACAAATCAGCTGATTGTTGGACTGAAAATGGCGAAAATAGCAAAAGTAAGTCAGCGGTTGTAAAAATCGCTTGCTGCCCCCGGTACCGGGGTGTCGGTGCTCAGCATACCCTGACTTTAACTACATCAGTCATGTCCAGTTTGAGCTCACTGACTGCAAGCTGTAATACCAGCAGTGTTTCAGAAGCATGACTTCATGCTGCAGTGTCACTGAAAAGCTCAGCAGAAATCATCTTTTCCTCAGTGACAAATGAGAAAATGAGGCCACGCTGCCTTCAAGTCTCAGTTTTATTGTGACTGCACATTGACGAAAGCTAATTAAAAGGAAAGAGAAGTATGTGCACCCTCAGGGAAAAATTGGGGAATCAGTAACCATGTAGGCAAAAAGTATTTTATATTGTTATTTTGCAGACAGCATTCTGTCATTTTACCATTAATTTCAGTGAACACAAATGGTTCATAAAAGGCTATTATTTCTGAAATAAAGCAGGGGCAGGCAGAGTGGGCTGCATGTCTGAATGCATTTGTAAGTTTCTCCACACATGTAGGCATGCGTGTTTTCCATGGTCTTCTCTAGTGATGCTAATGCAAGTTTGCAAAGATTGTGGGAGGTTTGAGACTTAATGTGGTTTTCACATTTGATTAAGATCACATCAAACTGCCCTGTCAAGGAAAATAATCTCCCTCTCTCTTTATCTCACACACACACACACACACACACACACACACACACACACACACACAGAGATGTACTGTAAGTTCATTAAAGCAACATTATGTAAGATGTGTTTTTTTGTGCTAATAAAGACTAATTCACCCCTGTCTAAGTTTAATTCACCATTGCAAATAAGGACAGCTGTACACATGCATTTGTTTTGATTACATAACTTTTGATCAAAAACTACCAAGTCACCAACTTTGCTAAAGCCTAGATCACACTACACAACTTTTAGCCCGATTTGCTGCTTGATCGGGAGTAAATCAGCAGTTGATCGGCGGTCACCAGTCGCTATGTGTGTACTACTCCATGACGCATCAAAACGGCTCCCCGACACATCACTGCCACATCGCCGACGTCTGCCAGATATCTAGCATGCCAAATATCTGGCAGTCGGCTGGCAAGTCAGCCGACTTGACAGCCAATGAGTGCTGAGCCTTTTTACTCACCTCTAGCTCTCTCTGTAGCTCAGACAATCCCTGCTACCTGCGTGTGCTAATCCATTCTTTCACCCATATTCTTTGTCTTTATAATTGCTTTCTTTATAATAACAAACAACAGCTGTTTTGTGTGTAGGTTCGCGTCATTTCACATTTCACATTTCACGTGTGTTTTCTTAACAAAAGGTAGTTTGGAGACCAGCGTCAGGTGACACAGCTGCTGTCAGCTCATGTAGTGTGTGACCCCCTGTCACCGATCAGTCACGTAGTCACGTAGTGAATGCCACAACGACTTCAAGACGGCAAGTTGTGTAGTCTTAACAGCACGGTGATCGGCCCGACGCTGAAAGTCATTTAGTCTGCACGAGCCTTGACTAGTCCAACAGAAAGAATCCCAGGCTGGAGTCTGTCTTGCAGACTTTTACTTCACAAAGCTCTCGCCAGAGTCTTACAGCCTCTTTCTTGGTCACTCATCTGTCTCTTTGCCTCTGCCATTAGCTAATGTTATGTTCATAGAGGCTGCTGAGCCTTATTATGTTGCCGGTGTTCTGACGATTTATGCTTCTTTGTCTACAAATGCTACCTTAATGCAAATCGATAGCGTCTAAACTATCGCCTTAAATAGGATGTATCGTTTCCCCATTAAGAAAAACGCTGCGCACATTTACGAGGTACAGCAGCATAATGTCCTTTGAATCCCCCGACACTCCGACAGGATCTACTACATAATTGTTGGTTTAAGTCAATAAGTGTAAAATAAGTGTACGTATATAATAATCTAATATATAATGAGGAAAATTTGAAAACAATAAAAAGTAGTCAAATAGGAAAATAAACTTCAGAAACAACACACATTGGAAAATACTTCACAGTATTTAAAGCAGGAGACTCTTATCTGTTTGTAGTTTTCCCAAAGGAGAACAAAGAGACTCACATTTTCCACTTCTCCTAATTGGCAGTGAATGCAAATGTGTTTCTCTGTGGACAGGTACTTTTTTCAGTCGTCCTGTTTCTGTGGCCATTTCAGTGGAGATGTTTTCAAAGGCACCGTCGGTTCTGAGGAATCGAAACCCGCTACGAGTATCGGGGCTGTGTGTGAAAAATATCTATAATATCTATCTATAATTTCCAAGAGGAGTACCTCTCCTGTGTTTCATTCTCATTGCTGTTGCTGCCATGACACCTGAATTTCCCTCTGGGTATTAATAAAGGTTTATCTTATCTTATGTTATTTTAGGATGAGAAAATTGGCATCCTTAACTTTGATAAGATGCTCCATTAATTTGTATCTTAAATCAGACATTTCATAGAT